AAGCTTCATTGTACTTGTCTGGGGAGGACCTAGAAGACCTGATCACACTTGGAGCCTCTGAAATGGTCTTGCCAACCCTGGATATGATAGTGTAGACTCACGACTAGAGGTTAGGGAATCTGCACCAGATGCTCCCAAAGCCCCTTCATTCTTAGAACTCTTGGGAATTCCAGACCTCTGACCCCTCCCCCCACCTCTGCCCTTTGCCCACTGGGAGCTCCCTACCCTGAAGAGGGAGGGGCTTTGGCTTCTACCACCAGGACCCTCATCCCCAGGCAATGCTCCTGTCCTGGGCTGGCGGGATCCTGACGGGAGCACCCTTCATTGTCTGACAAACTCTTCCTTTGCTCAGTGGACAGCGTATGTTCATGAATTCCAGAAAGCCCACCTAATAGACTGCACCTTGTCATCCTACGCTGTCACACATGGCACTGGTCACCCTGTGCTCTGGGACTATTCATTGTTCCGCCCCGTTCCTCATCTGGGAGGCCCAGGAGTGGACAGCCTGCGTGTCCTCTGTCACCAGAGCCTGTCTCCTGTGTGGGTGGAGCTCAGCCCTAAGTGTGACTGTAGGATGAGGGCATCTGAACCTGCATGTGCTGGGAAAGAGGAAGTTCACCTGAGCAGGGTGGGCTGGAGGTCTCAGTGGATGGCGAGGGGTGTCGCAGGCACCTGGAGACAGCAGGGGTTTCGGGAAAGTCCAGGACGAAGGGCCGGGTGGGGAAGCTACCAGAGCCCAGTAGGCCCAATCTAAGTGAGGAAACCGACTGGTCCACTCACCTGCCCCCGCAGCACACACTGCATTGCAGTCAGAAAAGAGGAACTTATCCTATTCCTCTAGTTGTGGCAAGAGCCGGGCACTACTGCTTGGGCTGCAGAGAAAGGAAGGGTGTGTGTGTCTGTCTCTTCTGGGTAGCTGCAGGATCCACAGAAGGCTCTGGCCTCCGGACATCCTGTGCCCTGCGTCAGTTGGGCCAGATCATTAGCAACATCCGACCTCCTGTATGTCCCAGCTGTCCCTTCCTCCTCCCCAAATGTGTGGTGTACACGGGCCAGGAAAAGCAAGTGAGGAAACACTTAGAATAGGGCTCAAGATGCCACCTGCACTCAGGACACAGCAGCCCCCAGCTGTGCTGATCTGTGTACAAGAATGAGATGAAGGAGTGAAATCTCTAGAGGAGCTGGAGGGATCTGGCCCAGGTTGTCACACAGGGCCACATGAGCTCAGAGATCAGATTGCTGTTAACACAGAATCTCTGTAGAGATGCTGTGGCCCCCAGGCCCACTGCAGAAGGGCATGCGGACAGTAAGCACAGCCAACACTCACTGCGCCGCACAGGGACAGTGCCTTGCTTGACCACCAGAACGAGGCAGCAAGGTGTGAAGAATTCACCTGCCAGGAAGCCCAGGAAACTGAGGCTCAGGAAGGCGAGGTACTCACCCAGACCCACCCAGAGGTGGCACTCTGTGCACTCTGACAGGCTGCTTTGATATCAGCCTCGAGCACATTGAGAATGTCAGGAGGAGCTGGGCATGGTGATGCAATCTGTAATACCAGCACTCCGAGAGGCTGAGGCAGGGAGATTGCAAGCTAGGGCAGTTTACCAATTTAACAAGAACTTGTCTCAAAAAATTTTTTTTTCAAAAGAACTGTGGATGTAGCTTAGTGTGAAGGTCCTAGGTTTGACCCCCAGAAACTGCCTCCCCACAGAAGAACAACAGAAGGGCTGGAGCACTGCGGCAGAGTGCAGGCCTCACACGTGTAAGGCCTTAGGTTCCAACCCTAGCACCAAGAGAAGAACAGAAACAAAAGAAAAAAAGAAAGAAAAGGTTTTAGTTGTTTGATTTTTTTTAAGAGCTATGGGTGGGTGGTGGCACATACCTGTAACCCTACCTAACTGGGAAGTGGAGGCAGAAGGATTGCAAATTCAAGGCCAGCCTAGGCAATTTAGTGAAGACCCTGTCTCACAATAGAAATGAAAAGGAGTTTTAGTTAGTTCAGCAGTAGAGTTCTTGCCAAGCATTTGGGAGGGCCTGGGTTCCATCCCCAGTACCAAAAAAAAAAAAAAAAAAAAAAAAAAAAA